ATCCTCAGGGGAAAACGACAGTTATGTTCCCCACAAGTTATAAGGAGAATCGTGATGGTACAGGTGACTGCCCCTTTATTAATTATGCAAGCAGGAAAAGTGGGAAAACAGCACTCTTTTTCTCTGAGTCAGAAATTTCAACCCTGACTGACAAATTCATGTTTGCTCTCATTGAAAAATTTCAGTGGGGACACCCACCTATGAAGGTTATCAGGATAAGTTTTGATGACCTCAAATTAGCAGGAAAGTGGAAAGTAGAGCTCATGGACGGGAGACTTATTTTGATTCAATTAACCGTGCCTGAAGACTAAACTCGGCTTTTCTCCAAAAATTATTTTAACATTGTTGGTGAACCTATGAAGCTACTCAAGTGGTCTCAGGATTTCGACCCAAATCATGAAACTCTCACTGTACCGTTATGGTTTAGTTTACCTAGTCTCAAGCTGCATTTTTTTCACCATCAGGTTCTTTACTCTATTAGAGTCATCCTTGGGAATCCTTTGAAGCTAAATTTACTTACTTTCAACCTAATCAGACCATTGGTGGTCAGAATACTTGTGTAAAGAAATATTACTTTATCTGATGTTATTGAAGTCTGGCTGGGCACAACCCATAATGGTTATTGACAACAAATCGTAATGGAGCACAGAACCCATATTGTACCCAATGTAAGATGTTTGGTCGTGTCTTTGATAAATGCCACAAGTTTCATCCAAATTTAAAATCTAAGGTTCAAGTGAATAAGGATGGGTCTAACCCCACTGCTCTGGACATTTTAATTTCACCATTCCGCCTGGGAAGGATATTGTTGCCCCTGTGCCCCCCTCATTGACACTGTTGTTACAGTTAATGCAAGTGATGTGATGTTAACACCTTCAAACCCCATAGAAAACAATATTGATGGAATATTACCTACAAAGAACAGTATTCAGATTGATAATCAGGAGAACCTCGCAGCTCCCCGCTCTTCAGGAAGTATCCGGTGTAGAGGCAACCCATACTTCACAGATATTAGAACCTATTGTAGATACTACAGTTGGTAATCCTTCTGTTTCAGCTCTACCACCTCGTCAGACTGATTCTTCGGATGAGGAATGACAAGTTTATACTTTCAGGAGGAAGAAGAAGAACGGAGATCTACTTGAGCTCGGGAGTTTTATGGATGATATTTTGGTTACGTCGGGTAATGGTACGCACCTTACCAATCTGCTAACTGAATCCTTTCCGAGAACTGGAGCCAGAGGCAGGACAAGATTGGGATTACCCTCATTTTTTCAGCGCCTAATTCTGGGTTTTTTTTATTTTTATATGTACTCCTTTTTAACTTTTTTGGGTGTGTTGTATCGTGTGGGTTGGGAGTCTATTTTTGAGCCCACCCATACAACATATCTGTGTCTTTTCTCTTTAATATATTAGCCCTTGGGCTTTTTTAAATATATATATATATATATATATATATATATATCCAAAAAGTTAAGTGACAGTCAGTTTTTTTGGGCCAATTGTGCTCAAAGTAGTCATTCATTCATCATCTACGTCAATTTTTCAAGGATGACAAATTAAAGTTTGACCAAGATGTTAAAAGATATAATGTTATATCATAGTATTACCATGCTAAAAAATCTCATGTCATTAAAGAAGTGGCACAATCTCTCTAATTGGATGAATAGCTTGAATGTGAAGGCATCAATATATAAAGTAGTATTACAATCAAAACTAGAATACTTCTTAATAGTTAAAGAGTTGTGTGTCATTAGATTAACTTGATAAGAGTACAAAAACCTTTGTTAGATAAGGTTGACTTAAAATTAGACCATTCGGCAAGCAACCAACCGATCTCCACAAGATCTTTGAGACAATGCATCACATAGATGCTAAAAAAAAGCCTTAAATTAGATTGAGATAATAATCGAACTAACCAGACCATGATCTATGACTATGACAACCCAAAAAAATATAATCATGTGGTCTTAATCGAGTTTGCCCAACGCCCACCTCATGATGGTTAGAATCATTGCAAATTAAAATAGGGAGGGGGACAATTCTAAAAACATATTCTCAACCATAAAGAAAACAGTTCAAAGCAGTTTTCTTTTGTAATGTATGATGTTATCAAAAAATTATAATCAAAGCAGATCACCAACAAAAACATACTCTAAATTTTCAAGATAAGTCTTTTTGGACTCCATTTTCAATGATGAACATAAATTAACCAACTCAAAATATGAAGGAACACCATCATAGTCTAAGCGATCCTACAAAAAAATAAAAAATCCATAAAAAAGGGGCAATTACATATAGACCACCCGAAACTTGATATTTACAAATCAACCACCCTCTTTCATCCATTTTTCAAATTCTCAATCAAATATCAAAATTCATGGTAAAATTCCAACCCATATTTTTCATTTTTACCAAATTCTCAATAGTTGATCGTGACACACATAAACAGATCGGTTTGGTAGTTCAAAAAATTCACTTGGGTGTTTAATTTGTAAATATCAATGTTTCGAGTGGTCTGTATGTAATTATCCTAAAAAAAATGAGTTTAGTTATACTCAATGTTTTGCATTCAAAATAACCACACATTGATCATATGCATCAATTTGCCAAGACTAAAATATGAAATTTTGACGAAAAGTTTGACTCAATATGATATCAATGGTATATATATGATCACACTAACATATCTTATGTAACTTGGTGGTTAATTTAAATGTGATAGGACTAATAAATTATGATTATGGTTAAAGCTCAAATTCCCTAATGGCTATGTCTATGAGTTGTGTGAGACATAAGACATTTGATAGAGCACGAAACCTTTTTTTAGTTAAAGTCGGCTTAAAATTAGCCCATTCTACAAGCATCCACCTTAAGTCTACAAAGGCGTTGGCACAAATCCTTAGATCAAGCTATGCCAGCTCAAGATGACGTGATCTTATAATCTTAACCAGGTTTGTCATCATTTCAAACACCCTCACCGGCCATCCACTAAATTAATATTGGTAAAACTTTCTCACCCAAATCAAATTAATGTTTTTGTCGTAATTAAGAGAGACAATTAACCATTGGTACTAAAGCCAATAGGAAAACTTCAAACCAAACCATAAAGTTCTTGTTACAAGGTGAAAGTCGAGAGTGACTTATCAAACATTCAATATGTTTTCTAAAAATTTATCATTGAGTATCAACAATTCAATTGGGAATTTTAGAGCGTACAGAGATATAAAAGATTTAAAATCCAACAATAAAATGATGATTCATGGAAAAATTTTTCTAGATTAATTTTTAAAAAATTATCATCTAGAACGACAAAATCATCTAGAGTCGTAGCACGTTAGGATAAATGCAAACAAGTTCAAAATATAGAAAAAAAATCTAGTATAATTAGTATTTTCGTTGTAAAGTATTTGATTTTATATCATAAATAAATAAATAATGCCTTGAAAACTTCTCTTTTTATATCCCTCTAGAATTCACATTTAACAATGTGCAAAATTTTAGAATTTTTATGATAATTGTTTTCTTAAAGATAATACTAAAGATAAATTCATGTGGATTACAAATATGGGATATCAAAAGTACATTTTATCATGAAGAAACAATTGTACATAATTCATTAACATCTATCTAGAAATTGCAAAACTTAAGCCCAGATCAATTAGGTGAATATCAGTTGAGCAATTCATCATAAAGTGTTAGTAAAATAACGAAATTGATTTGAAACACCGGTCAATAGGGCTTCCACGATGCGCTTACATTACCCTTCCCCTATTCTAGTTCATTTCACCATTTTGTATGTAATTGTGGTTCAAATATATTCTATAAAATCCATATTATTCAATTTGCAGCTCTCTAGCACGATCTCACATGTGCCTCCACATTGCAAGCCTATTTTAATCATCCCTGCATCATTGCATCGTGAACCCTCCACAATTCTTACAAACTATGAACCATCTACAGCCTTTCTGCTTGTTGAATTTGAATATGGTTGATTGATCTCTAACATTTGAACATAAATATGAGGAATCTTGAATCTTAAGGTTATAAATAGAAGTGTCTGAGGCCTATAAAAATCAATTGACATGATTTCAACTTTAAATTAAATAAGACTGGTTGGATGTAAATTCCTCCTAACTTTGTAAAATTCCAAGGGAAGTCGTCTATTTATTGTAGAAAAAAGGTATAACTCTACTATTTGGTGTCTCTTTATCATGTTCCCTTTCTATTATCTAACATATGGCAAACAATCTGCACAAATGAATGAGTTCTATTATATTTGGTCCTATAAGATTTTTTACTACATAATTTTCAATCAAAAATGATTTTTATACTTCTGGATTTCTATGCCTTATTTCTTATAAATGGTAATTAAATTACCTGTCAGATTTCTTCATATTCTTAATTTCCATCAAAGCAACAAAAAGTTATAAACATGAAGGGTTTATGAACTATAAATCAAAAAGTGTTTGCTTGATTTAATACATCTCATTATAAATCTAAATTAGTAAACACAAGCTCTATGACTTCGTGCCTCAGGTATTCCTTAATATATTAGAAACTTTGGCCAGAGTAAATGGGCAGTTAGGCAAAAGCCAGAGTACAAATTATGAAAGAGAGAAACTAACCGTATAAAAATCAAACCTAAAACATACAAGAGAAATAAGCCATTGGTTGGACAATATCTAATCTATGCTGACAGGCAATGACAAACATCAGTTCATACAAAAAAGTTTTTGCATAAATAGAAACCATTTTAAACAAGTACGTGAACTTCATTTATTTATTTATTTTTATTAGTAAATACCTTTAAAAAAATACTGGTTTGAACGTTAGTGAAGCCAGCTAAAGGGACCAATCTATAGAACATGCAAAATTAGCATTTTTGAGGAAAAAAAAAACTTCAGATAAAGACACGTGTAATATTTCCTGGTTTTATCAACTAACTCTAGGAAAATCTCAATTAGAATCTAAAATAAATCACTTGAAAAATACTTTACCTCCAGCTGTGCAGCAGCCTCCTTATACTGACGTTTTGAGGCCATTACTTGAAGTTGCTCGACTGCTGAGACTGCAAATTCGAAAATAAATTGTGTTTCTGGTAAAAGGAATTTCAAAAACAGATGGTGTGACTCTGGGCAGATATATATTACATCAACTTGGAGAACACTTAACTATTGACATGCAAAATCCTTTTTGGTTTTCTTTTTGGGAAATTTACATACCTAGCACACAATTCCTATGTATTTACATAATCTCACGCCTAAAATTTCATTGTATTTACATATCTCACGCCTAAAATTTCATATATACATATATAGCACTTAGTGCTTTAAAACTATGCATGAAAATGCGTATTTCACTTTTAAAAATGATAATAGTGTTATTTTTTATTGATGTGAAAGATTTGATTGATATGTTTGTAAATATGAAAGTTTAGGTCTGAGATACGTAAATGCATCAGAATTGTGTGCTATATATGTAACTGCCCCCTTTCTTTTTTTAAAGAAAGAGAACCCAAAGTGCATTGATGTCCATCCAGTAATAAGTAAAGCAAGCTATGAGTTCTCAAAATGTATAATTGCACAGTCAGCTTTAGCAGAGGATAATCTTATAAAATAAGGAAAAACTTCAAGCCAGTGGCAAAAGAAATAATTAGCAAAATCCTAAAATCAACTAACATGAAAAGATTTCAACTTAGAAGATGCCAAATATCTAATAGAAAAGGATGACTCAAATGACAAAAAAAATTACAAATTTAATTTTAATTTATAAAAAAAAAGTAAAGAGGAAAAAACAGGGAATTATTCCCATTTCAACATAAGGCATCCCATCATGTTGAATATCTTAGGTTCTCTGACATCCCTTTGATGCCCTGGGTGAAATAACATAGAGAGCAATTTTTATTTAATTTTGGTGAATACATATAGTTTATTCGTAGTGACAATTCAATGTGAATTTTGTTTTCTCGGCATAATGGATTGAGTCAATAAAAAAGTGGTATTTTGTAGATGAGCATAGTTCTATCATGGACATCAATTAGGTATATTTGAGACCAGACATTACATTTGAAATGAAATATGATGGTACAGCAAAATATTTAGGGAAATTTACATATGTAGCACACAATTCTTATGTATTTGCAAATCCCACACCTAAATTTCATATTTATATATTAGCACTTCAGTGCTTTAAAACTATGCACGAAAAGGTGTATTTGACCTTTAAAAAATAGTAATAGTGCTATTTTTTATGTGAAATTAAAGATTTGAGTGTTATGCATGTAAATATGAAAGTTTAAGCGTGACATATGTAAATACATAACAATTATGTGCTGCTATGTATGTAAATGCCCCAAAAAATTATTGAGAGTTGTAATTGAAGTTGTAATTAATTTGAAATAAAAGACATAGGCATGCTAACCGAGCATTGTAAGACGATGAAGAGCAGTAATTGTGGTTGTTATATGCCTCTTCGCGAAGTCTAGCTTCTTGATGTCATGACAGATTTCTTGAACCATTGTTTCACTTTGTTCAGCTTTCGTCTTAATTTCATGAATCTTGTGCATCAATTCCTAAGAACAAAGCAACAAACATTGAATGAGATAGTGGATTTTTTGCTAAGGGGCCTTTTTGTATCACTTTTATTTTTTATTTTTTGTTTTTTTTATTATGTTTTGATTTGAAACAAAATATATTTGGTAGGGTTTGTTTGGCATCACTATTATTTTTTTGTTTTTTACTTTTGGTATTAACTTTTATTTTAAAAACATGTTTGTTTAATGCATTTTTGCATGCTTTTACTTTTAATTTTAAAAAAAAATTTAATTTATTTTTAAAAAAACTTAGAACATCTCAAAGTTATTTTGAGTGTTTTTAAAAACAACTTACCGTGTTATACCATACAAAACATACTTTATTTTAAATCAAAACATAAATAAAATAAAATCAAAATAAAAATGAAACGTGATCTCAAAGGGCCACTAAGATATGGTCATTTTTAAAAAGAAAACGCCTAAAAGTTATTTGAGTGTTTTCAGAAATATGTTTATTTGTTTTTAGAAACAAAAAGAAATAAAAATATATCAAAAACACATTAAACAAACATATTTTTAAAAATAAAGGAAAAAATAAAAACAATAACAAAAAACAAAATTGATCCCAAACAAGTCATAAGCAAATACCAAGAAATATAAAAACAAATCAAAGGACAATATTAGCATTTTCCTGAGAAGAATTACTAGCTTGATCATATTATCAATTACTCTATTACTTGAATCCATTTCCATCACAAAATTTATTAACAGTTCTAATCAATTATTAGAAGCAAATCTCCAGCATGAAAAACTAACCTGAACAGCATGTGTTGCTGCAGCAAGATCCTCCTTGGCTTTTGTCCCAGAGTAACTCTGCATATACAAGCATACATAAATTAGATACATCATTCAGAACTGAGATCTGGAACTAAGTAGCAACAAAATCAGATCAAACAACAGCAAAAATGGAATGGCTGCAGCATACCTGCCGACGAACAGCAGCCAATATACTACCATCCACACGATGAATTTCACTCTGTATCTGTTGCATAAGTGGTTCTACTCCAGATAACGATGCCTCTGGATATTTGGAAATTGTGATGGTCTTTTAAAGCAAGAATAAGACATACTTCTAAGAGAATAAGACATGCTTATTTATGATGAACATGCATCAAGCTTTGAAAATTACAAATTAATCCTTTTTTGGAGCAATTGTGAGGCATGAAGTCCATGTCAGTCTATAATTCATGGAAATATCAAATTTTAAAGTATAAAACATTTGCATAAAGAGAACCCTAAGTATTGAGATGTTTATCATATAAATATGGGTATCAAAAATGGACCTGATGCACCTACTCGACTCAAACCTGACTCAAAAAATCCAAGTTCAGGTTAATCTGAATAATTTCCGAGCCAAGTTCGGGTTGGGAATCATAACCCGTTTAAGGTCAGATTTAACTTGACCTGTCATCCCTAAATTGACCTGCTAACTTGAAATTGACTACAAATCAACTTGTCAACCCAAAAGAGGCTAGGGATTAACTCAAAATCAACCCAATTTTAACCCAAATAGTTGTCATGTCATATGTTAAATGGGTTATATGGTCAAGTTTGGATCAGTGGGTTAGAGGCGGGTTAGGTTCGAGTCAGACTTTCTGACCCGTTTAATATTCAAGTTGGTTCAGGTCGGGTCAAATTTTGGTGAGAACCGAAATGACCCACGAATCCAACTTGACACCACTACACATAAAATATCAAAATTGTTTGTTGTTAGGTATTACATATTGAATATTCCAAATACTGGATAGCAAAAAGGAAAAAAAATGCAATGAAAGCCGCGCCGAAATCATAATAAAAAAAATTACTAAGCAAAAGAAAAGAAAAATGAATGGAAAATCTTTTTCACAAACAATCTTTTTTTTTTTCAATTTATTTTTCTTTATGACTTTATCCAACTTCATGCTGCACCAAAGCCAGGAGAAGTGTTGTTAAAATGTGCAATGGATGTGAAACAAAGAATATTAAGGCATTGCCAATTGCAGCACAAATGAAATCAAGCGTGCAACATTAATAAGCTTGGATTGCACTGAGATGGTTCTTAGGCATTGAGGGAATGTTACACTCCTAATTAGTGGTAGTCTATATTTTAAAGACTTTTCCCAGATATGATAAAGATGGTTGTTCTTTTTTTAAAATTTAAGAAAACATTATGTATAGCTGAAATCCACTGAACCAGTGTAAGGAGCACAGCCAAACAACTCCAAGGAGCTGAGTTTGTCCAGAATACCTATTGAACTCATCCACGAGAACAGCTGAACTCGTTTGCTCGTCCACTCATCTAGGAGAACGGCCGGACTCATCCGGAAGCTGAACTCATCCAAGCGAATAGCCGAACTCATCCAAGCGAATAGTTGAACTCATCCACTTGTTCACTCATCTAGGAGAATATCTGAACTTGTCTAGGAGATCTCTCCCAGGAGAACCCTCCCAAAACAGTGCACCCAGAAAAACTCTCCCAAAAAAGTACTCCTAAGACAATAACTCTCATAGGAAAACTCTCCTCAATTTCAAGTTGGCTTGCATGAACGATTACCAATGCAGGACTTCTTAAGATAATATTAATTATAATATCCACACTAGAAAAGGACAAAAAAAAAAGATCAAAAATCCCTTTGAGATCTAAATGTAATCATCACCAGTATATATTTTATAAGAAAAACTCCCCTATTTAAAGGGTTAAAATAAATGTGATAGGAGTTGTACTGGGACGTTCAATTGAAACGATATTCAGAGATTCAATATAATCCATCCCTCTACTCCTCCTCTCTAGCCTTCTCCTCCTTTCCAGCTAGCTCTATCTTTGAAGCATGAGTCCACAAACAAAAAAAGATTCAAGACATTCTGATGAAAAACAGTTTATTAATTAAAAATCATATATAAGAACATGAGGCCAATTACAAATTAGTAGGAACAAGGCAAGTTGCAAATTGAATTTTATACAAAGAGATAGAAAATACTTGGTTTAACAAAGGTGACATATATAACTAAAATCGGACGTTTAGCCAAGGAACCAAAAAGTACATCATTTGGGTTATAGTTATTTCGTAATTAAAGGTAGTTGGCGGCAAGCCATACCCTCCTAAATCAGTGGGATAGGTTAACACAGTATTACTTGCTCCATTATTGCAAATTATAAATCTAACATGTTGACATCATAATCTAAACATTTTATATAAATTCTCCACGGGAAGTAGCCAGCCACGCACACCTCTTGCCCTCTTTCCCCCGCTCTCTTTCTCTCTCAAGATCTAGTCAATTCAGCTCTGGTGGGAGCCACAAAGCAATAATTAATGTAATCAAAAAATCCAATTTTGTGCGCTTCAAATGTATTTCTTGTGATTCAATATATTTTCAAGTGATAATAAAAACTTTTAGCAACCTAATTTGCTCAGACACCTAACACCTAGGGCCTTGAACCACGAAATGTCCAAAAGAGACCTTAGTGCTTTTGAAACACTAAGGTAATGCAATCACCCTCCTTTCACTCTATTACTTTTAATAATTTCATACCCCAACAAAGATAGGACTGCAGCCATTGATTACTCCAATCCCTCTCCTTCTCAAAGTTTTATCATCTTGTCCCTAAAATCCATACTCCAATGGATGAGGGGAGGGGATAGCTAATAGATGAGGTCCATCCCCAACCTCTCTCATTTCTCTCAAAATGAATCTTATATCTTAGGGGATAGCTAAGAGTTAATGTCCACCGCCCATTTTCTCTGTCCAACTAATGACAACCAAATATCTATAAGAATATATTTGTTCGAAAAGTATGATATTATGATAAAAAGATATGATCCGTCACACATCCTGAACTGGTGGTGATAAAATGTTCGGTTTTACAGAATCCAAATAGGCTAGCAACAGTGAATAAGGCTTTGAAACTAAGTGGACAAAATTTTAGGTTTTTTAAACTTGTTGACCAAGCATAACTTTAACTTATTAGCAAATCATGGCTAAAATCGTGGAAAAGGAGCGAAAGATTAAAAGAACAAGTTTGCAGGCTGTTCATCATCGTTATCAAGAGCCTTGTCTTAAATATTCAGTTGAAAGATGTTCATCAAAATTATAAGGGGCGGTTACATACATATAGCACATATGACTTTCATATATGCACACAAAGCACTCAAATCTTTAATATCACATCAGAAATTGCACTACTATCACTTCCTAAAAGTGAAATACACATTTTCATGCATAGGTTTAAATTTTAAAACACTTGCTATGTAAGTAAATATGAAAGTTTAGATGTGACACGTATAAATACATAAGAATTGTCTACTACGTATGTAAAATTCCCAAAATATAAATATGAGGATATACATGAGAATCTTAATTCCGGTTAACAAATTAAATATAATAGCTACACAAAGCTATATTTGATTACTATTCTTTGTGAATTTATAGATAAAATCAGTGTAACAAGTTCAAAAGAAATTAAAATTTAACTAAAATAAAAAATTCAAACTTAGTAGATAACATCAAGATCCAAACAAATCATGAAACCAAACTCACCAGTGGGGAACATCTGGTTGATATACTCCAAAGCACTAGACTTGTCCATTTCAACTGGTCTCGGTCAAATTATTCCCAATCCAAATGTAAAGGAACCTGAAGAGGAAATAGTAAACTAACACAAAACTAGTTAACTCATTCTTACCTGATAAAAAAAATTAGTAAAACTCATATTGAAAATTTACTACCTGAGTTAACATTAGACGACACTCCAGCATTAAGAGTACAGTTGCATCGCTGAAAACATCTTCAAAATCTAACTACAAGAAATAAAATAACTTACACAATAAATATCTATTTATGTTAGAATTTTCTTTGAAATTTATAATATAAAGTTCATGGGAATAGATCTATCTGATGAGACGCATCAAACTGCTACTTGAAATCACCTTAATTACACAGACTATTAACAAATATACTTTTATTATAGCGTAGCATGAGTCTATTAGAGTAATTAGTCTATGCCATGTGATGTTTTCATTAATTTGCAAGTCTTCAATATATTTCCCACTTATTAGTCAATTTTGTTAGTTTATTGAATGGTAACTTGGTCCTTTTGAGGGATCAAACCATTCCTACAAATACCTTATGTATTCCTTTTACAAAACAATGTTTGAAAAATGCAATTTTGGCACTTCTAGACTTTTAGCAAACCATCTATGAATTTTTTTGATTGAATGATGGTTCCCTCCTCTTAAGGAGTCAAACCATTCTTATAAATAGCTTATGTAGTCTTTTTACAAAACAACAACGATAACAACAAGCCTTTATCCCACAAAGTGCGGCAGGCTACATGAATCTTTTTTCTCCATTGTGTCCTATTAAGTGTCATTTTTTTTCATTTAATTCTAATAAATTAAGGTCATTTTTATACAATATGAGTCCTTTTAAGTCTACCTCTACCTTTCTTAGCATAAGTCAAACCTTAAACATCTACTCTCCTAGCAGCTTCAGATGATCGACGTTTAACGTGATCAAACCATCTAAGACGACTCTCACTAATCTTCTATGCAATTGGAGCTACTCCAACCCTTTCACGAATATATTTATTTAGCATTTTATCTCTTAACGTGATCAAACCATCTAAGACGACTTTCACTAAACTACTCATCCACTTGAGCATTCTTATCTCAACAACACCTAACTAAATTTTACGCTTCTATTTTACAAGCCAATATTCTGAGCATTGCGGGTCTCTACCATTTTATAAAAGTTTCCTTCAAGTTTAAGAGGTATTTTTCTATTAAACAATAGTCCCAATGCATTCCTCCACTTCAACCATCCAACTTGAATTCTGGTAACATATTCATCTTACAAAGCAAAGTTTGAAAGATAAAGTTTGGCACCTATTAGATTTTTAGCAAAACTTCTAAGAAATTTTTTATTGAATGGTGGTTCCCCTCCTTTAGATAGTTTGTGAAAGTTGTGGACCTAGTTTCATTATTATAAGTAAACTTACTTCTTTCAAGCTAAACCTCCCTTCTTTAAAAGTATCGCCCAACCTTTTTACATGTTATCAATACCAAAGTTCCTCACCAGCACTTTGCATGGATGCCACCACATCATTTTGTACCAAAGCTAGGTTATATCATGTATTGTAATGGATGTAAAAGCCCCACATGAAATGATGTGGGGTAAAAGAGCATCTTAGTGCTTTGCATTTGCAAAAAACTTCACGTTCTCATGACAAACCCCTTCTACATCTAATCTAACCCGCTTGCACTAAAAAACACACTGGTTCCCTATTGCTGACCAGCAAGGCAGTTATTTTCATCCATTACAAGTCATTTTTATCCTTGTTTTGATAATTTCACTCATTCAATTTAAGTATTTGAGTCCAAATCTGCTATTTTCAAAAAAAAAGTTCATCCTCTACACTGCCACAGTTAGCTCAATAACTTTCACAGAAATCCAAATTCCTATGAGCCAAAAATCCGCAAATCTAGAAATAATATCAATATTGTTGAACCAAATTTTATATTTAAAGTTTAAAATTAATTTAAAATTTGTTAACCAGCTCAGCTTATCCATGAAACTCTGCGCTTCTAAGAAAATCACCTTGTCCCCTTTCGAATGGGCATTCATTCCAATCGAAATTTAAACCAAACGGAACAAAACTCAATTGAAACCAAATAGATCCAAGAAGGCTAAAATAAAATATTTAGACTCACTCGCTCATTAGACTGATTCACCACTAAAATTGCTCGACCCAGATGAGTATTGGACCTTGAGTATTGCTCACATGAAAAATAATTAAATAATAAAAAAAAAATTCAAATTTAGTTTGTTGAGTTTAGCCACAATTATCAAAACCTAGCACTCCTTGAAAATAGACATAAAATATAGCAAATAAAATCCAGGTTGGCCTTGGGACATGATCAAGTTGGGCAAGGGTTACCAAAATTCAAGAGCCAACAACAGCATGACTCCATGATCAAAATTCATAAGCACAATAGCTTTTACGAGTGAAATCCTCCAGATTTAGTTTGTAATGTTGAATCTAGATCATCAACTTAAATCCAAACTTAATTAGTAAATTCAATTAACACCCCATATAGATTGTTAAGTTGGATTCAAAAATAAAACATAAAATTGCCTCACTTCTGGCTATTTTGCTCAATTAGAACATCTGAACTAGGTCATTGAGGTAGGTCCCGATGACCAGAAGCCCAGATTGAACCATCATTAAGTGCTAAATTTACTTAGAACTTCAGTTTGGCATCAAATCAATTTGCTTGAGATGAATACAAATCACAAACACTCAAAAGGATAATGAAGCAACAGCCTACCTATTGAAAAATACAAACCCTCAGGGTGTATGGGTTACAAAATCTTGTCTAAAGATTACAAAAGCAAATTCGATTCAGAAAGATCTCTCTCAAAGTCAAACTTATAAGAAAAGAACATGATAAAATATGGGCCACAAAAACAAGCCCAAAGAAGTTTTGAGGTACAAAAAACTATGTTGGGGAGGTTTGGGTCACAAAATGTCCAACATATTAGTCTAGAAATTAAAAATTACATCAAAAAGATTAGTCACCAAACAACATTGAGAGGCTCGAGTCACAAAAATCCCCTTAACATCATTGGGGCTACTCGAGCCTCAAAAATACCTCCCAGAAAAATTTGGGCTATAGAAAAATATCTTTAAGAGGCATGTCATTACAAAAAAGACTTCCCAAAAAAATTTGGGTTACAACAAATCAACCACTAGGAAGGTCGAGTTAGGAAAAACTACCATTAAAAGTTCAAATCATAAAATTCCTTTCGCAGAAGTCAAAATTATAAAAAACAAGCCCATGAGGTTCAGCCATAAAACTCTCTAGTAGGTTATAAAACCTTACCAGGGAAGAGATTGGATCATAAAATTTCATTTGAAGAAGTCTAGGATATAACAAACAACCACGTAAAGGTTCGGTCATAAAATTCTTTCAAGGATAAATCTTGATAAAAAGAAACTACAACAATAATATCTAGACCCAAAATCCCTCACGAAAAAATTTAGTATAAAAAAAAAGTACTTAGAAAAGTTTTATGTCACAAAAATGTCTTCTAGAAAATTCATGTTACAAGAAAACCCATATTACAAAAAATCCCTCTCAAAGAAGAATAAGGGTCTATTTGGGGCAGTTGCAGCTTATCCAGCATATCCAGATAAGTTATTGATCAGCAACTGAACCGGATAAGTTGTCTGACTGTTTGATTTGTTCGTTTGGAAAACTGTTGATTCTGAATAAATGACTATTTGCCCCAGTTTTGGATAAGTTGTTTAGATATTTGGTTTGTGCATTTTGAGAACAGCTGATTTGTAGGTGTTACATATATAAAAATTGAAATACATCTTGGCATTCATATATAAGGTGATACATATGTAAAAATTGAAGTCTAGATGTTAGATATGTACATACATAAGAATTGAGTGGTATTTATGTAAATTTTCCAATAAAAAATGTTGATTAGAGAATTCACTAAAAGTTAGTTGATTTTCATTCAAATTTACATGTCATATTATATAATTTAAACCATGCAGATATGATTGTACATCATCAGCATGCATCTTCCCAAAGTCACAAATAATATATAAATAAGTACCCTTTAAGGAACAGGAGATGAGAAAAGAACAAAGGCCAACGCAAAGAAACACAAAGTGGTGTCTTAACACGACAGATGTAATCAAACAATTGAATCCAAATAAACGGCTAACTAGGGTTTTAGCAAGAATGAAATGAATATACATTAATTGATACAGTTTCATCAGAATCATAATCCAAATATATAGAAGTTAAAAGATTGAATCAAAGGAGGAAGACACTCATCAGTGTGGCGTCTTAACACAGAAAAACCCCCATGAATGCTCGTATCAGAGAAACCCCCAAAATCGACATCTATTAGTTCAATTTCACGGTGGGATTCCCAAGATCCATAGATCGAGCAGAATCGCAAACCTTTTAGGGCGAAGGATAACGAAATGCTATCCTTTCAGCCATTTACGCCACCAGCGAGCTTTGCAGAGGTGTCCGTCGACGCCATGTTGATGGTGAAGCTTGATATCTCACATCCACTGGGTGTGGGACGAAGGGGTGTGGGTCTCCCGAAATCAGGCGCTGTAAAACAGCAGGAGATCAGATCTGTGGGAGAGAAATAGAGACGAGCTCAGCGCATCCTTCGAGCGATGTGGCGGGAAAGAAGGGGAAGGATTCAAAATGGCGACTGGCTTTCGGCGATGGAGAGAGACAGAGGTTCGACGGGCTTTTGGAGCGAGAGGGGTAGGCGAAAAAGGAGCGATGGAAGCTGCGGGTGAACGCGGATCGTAGGTATGACCCCGCAATCTGCATGTAATATAATTTACAAAACGCCGTTCTCGGATAATTTATTTGAAACGTGCGAATCAAACGGTTAGACAGCGTTTCGCACTTATAAACTACCCCAAACATGCTCTAAGTTGTAAAACAATGTAAAAATGCCTCTCAAAATAGTATAATAATAAAATTAGCCTAAGAGGTTTAGGTCATAAAAACTCTTTTGCAATGAACAAAAAAATGGCATAGAGAGACATGGATCAAAAAAACTTTCACCAAAAAAGTTCACGTTAAGTAAAACCATCTTGAAAAGGCCAATCACGATAATCCCTCCCGAAAAAACTTAGCTTATGCAAAACAACCCAAGAAAGTTTTGGTCCCATATTACAAAATAATAAAAAATCCCTCCTGGAGAAGCATAGGATACCAAAAACCATCCCATAAAGATTCGAGTAACAAAAAATCACCCTTGAAAAATCCTATACAAAAAGAAACTACTCTCAAAGGATTTTAGTTCATAAAGACTCTTTTTAATTTGAACTCTACGTTAGGTTCAAGCTCTAAAAACTAAAATACTAAAACAAGCACCAACATACTATATAAAGAGATTCATGGATCCCAATAGATCTACAAGTTCATTGTGGTGTATATATAGAAAAAAGTACAAATGCACCTCTACATATTACTGTCAATCCTACTCAGAAATATTTTAGAATGCATCGACAATATTATTATAAAAATAATAAAAACAAAACTATTGATGAGGGCTAAGCTAACCTATAACTACTGAATAGATTTGAATACAAGTAGCTAGCGATAACAGAACTAGTCAAAACCAATAGAAACTGAAGCAATTTTATTAAGCAAATGAATTAGGGCTACGAACATAACTCAAAACGGAAATAAAACACAACACCAATCTCTGACTAGGGTCGGAAAAGAATATCCGAAGACGATGGTGGCGTCGGTGATGTGGTTAAGAGTAATAGTGGTAGGAAGTAGGAAATAAGTGTTGAAAGGTAGTGATGGTGGTGGTCGGTGTCTAGAAGTGGGGCAGAAAGGAATAGGTTGGTTGGCGGTGGAATTAGGAGAGGCTGGAGGAGGTATTGGTAGGTGATAAGTGATAAGGGATTAGGAAGGGTTGGTGATTGTGCGGTATGGTTGGAGAGGAAGGATGGTAAGTATGGCCGCATGGAAGGAGGTGGCAGGTTGTTGGTTGGCAGTTGGATGGGCTGGACAGCAAGTACTGCTGCAGGGAAAGGGGGTTGCAAGCCAACATGAAGGAGTAGGGGTGGTCGACGACTAAGGGAAGAAAAGGGGAAAAAGGTAGAGAGGAAATTGGAAAAGATAGAACACCGCCTCGGAACAGGATACAGCCAGAGCGTCACTTGTCGTCGGATACAACCCTCACAAGGGAAGACAAAGACTTCTACATAAATCTGAAATGAAAACTCACCAAAACATAACCCTAATTCAGCAAACACATATAATAGATAATAGATAAAATAAGAAGGTAATATTTCCCCTTTGGGCTGCAACCAGAAAGGAAGGAGAAGAAGCGTCAAAACAGAGAGAACTGACGCTTTGGCGGTACTTCCTGCCCCTTGGGAGCAAACGACTAGCCGGTCCAGCCTCCAGCTGAACTGAAATACTCCATGCAGAACCAAATGGCCGGTTCAGCCATTCCCCAAGCCCCGATTGGTCGGTTCCCCTCTTCCCCGAGTCTCGCGTGCCTCCAAGCCCACTTCAACTAGTTAGTGAGATAGCTATAGAAACTTTATAAGCCTCGCTAAAAAAAACCACTGTGCCAAAAAGAAAAATGAAACGCTTCGTAAGCTCTCAAATAATAATGCCTACTCAGTCTACATCAATAATGGAAACCTAGTGCAATGAAGTCTCTAGTTTTAGCTTAATGATAACTTTGTTGGAAGTCAAAGCAACATAAGCAATATTGTTGGTCACCCTTTATGGGTTTTTAGTATTTAAGGTAATCATCTTGGTATCTCACAAGAAAGTTTCATCAAATAACAAGTGAATCATAGGAATAGAGGAACCTTAACACATCTCTAAGGAAATAAAAATGTCACTTAAAACATACAGAGAGGTAATCAAAAGATGCTCTAAAACAAAGATGCTCATGAAACAAGAAGAAAAAGTTAACAACCCTAAAAACAAAAATGGTAAAAAGCAAGTGAAGCCAAAGTGCATGAAAATGGAAACCTCCTTAACAGGCGCAGAAGCAAGAGTAGCATTCCCCTCCACAAAGGACGGGCAAGATGGGATGCCCCATTAAATTTCCATCTTCAAAGAAGAAGAAGCGAAGCCTGTACCACTTAAAACATAAGAATAAATATCAAGAAGCATAGAAGGTCCTAGCTCCTCTACTAAAATCAACCTTACATGTCTCTCTAAGGCCACCAAGGCAATGGATAAACCATTAAAATCTAAGCAAAAACAAAAGACCAGATCCAAAAAGAATAAAAGTAAACTAGAGCAAAATGTTTGAATAAATATTATTCTGATTACAAGAAACAACAACTATAAGTGTACTTAATGAGCCTATCGAAATTGTAGGCCTCCTTTTAGGTATAGATGCCATTGCTTTGGAACCTATATCAAACAATCTTCTAAAAAATCCTTAAAGAATACTATAATCGCTTTGGTATTATCCTAAACATCCCATATTGAGCATAAACCCATAAGATATGTTGGATGGGGTAAGCCTGTCTATCACTAATACCAGCAAAACTATCCAAAGTTAATAGACAATAATGAGAACCAAAAACCAACCTCAATAGAAAAACTCCAAAATGTAAAAGCACAAGAAAAGAAATAGAATCAAAAGACCAGCCAAGGCCAAAAGATCCAACTCTCTTAAAACTTTCAGAAAAAAGTCTCATCAGGTGTGGCCTATATGTAACCAAATTGGTGGATCACCCAACAAGGCTAGAAATGTTCAAAAAAAATGTGACTCAAATCATTAGTACATCCAATTTGTTCGAAGACTAATCAACAACTTGCTAAAATAACAAACCTCAATTGAATCAGCTGAGAGTCCAACAAAAATAAACCCCCAAACCTCTCCTTGCGAATCTTTAAAAAGACCCAAATATCCAATATTTGTACAAAATAAAGTCTCTAATTCAACATTTAAGTTGTTAAGATAAAGAGACACTAATCTTTTATGAGAAAAGCATGCAATCCCATCGAATGAATGACATAGGATACCTACTACGAATAAAGAAATCTAAAAAGGCATTTTGATTAAAAAAAGAGGTTAAATCTAGAATTGCTACCTAGATAATGTTTTTGTTCTTGAAAGAAAACAACAAAATGATGCAAGAGCCAAGGCAATCCTCTTGCCCCAAGATACAAGGTTGGTCATCAGCAACATCTCAAAAAGGAGTATCATTTGACCAACAAGAATATGAATAGTCCTTAAACAATTTAAATCATTTGCTCGCTCAATAATCAGAAACGGAAAGCATTAAATAATTTCTTAGCTAATACTTCAAAATACTCAAAAAAACTTCAATTAACATTTTCTGCTTTGAGTTTTCAAGAAGAGCAGAAAAATATATCCATGTCTGTCAAGAATCATAAAGCTTTAATTACAAAAAGGTGGCTCGTGGCTGAAAGTTTCTATGTAATAAAACTCATCATTCAGAGTTATAAAATGAATGAAAATTCATCAAAATTTACATTCAAAATTACTTGTACAACCCCTTGGATCATAATCTACTCAACGAATGCTCTTCTCAACACAAACAAATCGATATTTGATATCAATCAATTTTCTATGGTGCAACTCAAATCCATTGAATGGGATACCAGCATGTTATTAAATGGTTAGTAGAAAAGGCATTAGTAAAACCATCTATCAATGAACCATATGCACATTGGTATAAACCCAACTCTATTGAAGTAGTGCTTCCATTTGTTATTATTAAAAAATATAATGTTGGTAAAAATGCCCTATTATAACGCCTACCAAAGATTTATCTAGCTAATAGCATATACTTAACCCAATTCAAATCACTGCATATTAAGCATAAGATTAAATCATTTAAATTGACCCTATACTAGCACATATAAAGTGATCATAGAAATAAATTTTTTGGGTCTATAGGTGTATACTAATAAAAATTTTTAAGAAATAATTACATTTTATAACAAAATTATAATATTATAAAACACAAAAACAAAACAATCTGCACAATGTTGTTGATGTTTACAAACTTCTTAAATAAACACACATAAATTTTTCAACATACCTAATATTTGGAGACTAAAATAATAGGGAGGGTAACTTCCTGCTCTAATTACAAGGCATTGCCTTTCTTGCAGCTAGAGACAGCGCCACTTGTTATCAACTTCATATGATGAAACCAACACACGCTCCATCAACAATCTCCCTAGATACAAAACTACATATGATTACCACACAACATCAGTAGTTAGGCATTTTACATGCTATTAAAGATGTCATAAAGACAATCAGCGCCTCGCTTGTTCACCATGGATCTACCAGGAGATGGGTATCCTCATTCTATACACTCAAAAAGGACATGCAAGCGTACTTCTTGCTCTTCATTCAACTCCAACTATTTTATCACCAAATGATGTAATGTTCACAGGGGCCTTTATGAGCTTGGATAAAGCTTTCTGTAATTCTAACAAAAAATGCATACGTACCAAGTACACATTATTTTAAATGAAATATTTATTTAGACTTACTAAAAAAATTAATTGCATTCAAATATCATAATTTCGTTATTTGCCTTCTTAAATCCTATTAATCAATATTGAAATTAAATCTTCATTATTTATGGGGAAAATGATGCCAATCTAAATCTAAATGCTTTTTTCCTCCTTTTTAAAGTAATTGGTTGATCTTCCTTATAATTTAATACATAGAAGTTAACTATCCCTCTACGATTGTAGTATCTAACAAGCTTGATAAAGAAAATCCTACATTTTTTTTTCTTTTATAAAGATTGGTTGACGAGCGGAACCGCCGAGCAATCCCTTTGGGCTTCGCCAACATCGCTAGGTAACGCGAGTCAAGACCACATGACCCTAACCCACTTCAATGCCCCCTCCTTTTAGGCAACAGTCGTCAGAGGCGGGATTCGAACCCCATACCAGAGGAGACTTACACCGCCGAAGCGGATGCTATAAGCTCAATCATAAATCTTTCCCCATAAAGAGCATATAACTATTTGTTATGTGGATGAAAATTTTACCCGTTTATTTTTAAGACTAAAACATTTCTATCACAAATATAAGCAAATTAAATTATCTTCTATCGTTTCAAATTTGACTTACAATGATTACGCTTGCAAATAAATCATATGCAATCACATAGAAGTGAACCTAAGAAAATCAAAAGTGGAAAAATAAAGGGAAAGTGATGTGAAAACAAATAAAAATATTTATTAACGCACCTGATGAGTGAGTGTGAACTTTTTCCACAGCAAATAGCTCATATTTCATTTACTGGCCAGGAAATGATTAGAAAATAGCCTAATCCCACCACAAGCCACTCAGCAAAACCAATAAAAAAAATCTAATAAAAGATCTCAAGAAAAGATGATTTATGTCCATAAATTGTATAGGGAGAACTCAATTAAGCATGAATTGCTGGAAACTAGAAAAACAAGGTTTAAAAACTATAAACTAATGCAAAGGCTGAATTAAAATGCCTAAAAAAATTCCACCGCATCACTAACTATGGTAAGTACGTCGTAAGGACTTAATTGTTTGCCTGAAGTTGAAAAGCATATTTAGATAAACAATTAAGTTTTTCATATTCATCAATTGGTCGGATTTATTTTAAACTGATATTAATTTTGAAACATCCTCAAAACTCCTGCAAAAATGATTATTTTATTCTCACACTCAAAATCAGTGAAAGCAATACAAGAAACCAAAAAAACTCTAAGATGAAAAAAAAATAAAAATATCTTGCCGTATATGAACACAATCGCTACGTACTATCCTACATCACAGTGCCTAATCACCATCAGGCATTCTCCCAAATGCTATAAAGAGAACTAAAGATTCAACAATGAGACCGAATTTGTACCACACGATTCGAGGAGCAGCGCATCACTGGGACGAGCGGCAAGTAAGCAGGAGACAACGTCCAGCAGATCGACGACGGCGAGTGTTGAGGTCAATGGAAAAGAAGCAAGCAGATGGATGGGAGGGATAGACCGGCGAAGGGTTGCGCCGACGGGAAGAGGAGGTCGGCGGTGAGATCTGGGGGAGGAGGCGAAGTGGGCGGACCAGGTCTAGGCATTAGAGATGCGGATTTTTGTGGCAGTTTGGTAATTTTAAGTTTACTTGAAATTTCTACTAATTTCAGTTGAATTTAAAGTTTGTTTTTGATGAAAATATTTCTATTTTTCAATTTCTAGATGTTTTATAGCCAATATTAACCAAATTTGACTCTGAATTTAATATGATTTAAAACCTATAGCAATGATCCATATTGATTCATATATAAGCATTAGACACGTCTATTTGAACAATGTTGGGGCCTGATTTTGGAAAAAATATTACATCAGTACTACGCACGTAGAGGAACGTGCGTACCCAATGAAATCACGCCACGATATCCCGCGCGACGCTGAAAAAAAACGGCGCAGTAACACGGGGAATATTCCTCCCCGTGTTATTCATGTGTTATTGTGTGTTATTCATGTGTTATTCATGTGTTATTGTGTTATTATAACACCAGGAATATTCTCAGGATACAATAACACATGAATAACACACAATAACACATGAATAACACGGGGAGGAATATTCACCGTGTTACTGCGCCGTTTTTTTTTCTGCGTCGCGCGGGATATCGTGGCGTGATTTCATTGGGTACGCACGTT